AACTGTGAATCTGCAGCAACATGGCCAATACACCCAGGAAGACCACCCCTAGAGCCAAGAGAGCTAGAGCTGCTGGATCTTCATCCTCCAGACCCCCTCCTGCACATGACCCGAGGTTTCGCTTATTAGCTCATGAAGAATATTTTAGAACCAACATCCTGCGAAGGCAGATAGTGCAAGATTGTAATTTTGAGATCCAGGAGGGCACCTACACTCAATTTCAGGAGGAAATTCAGAGGAGGGGTTGGGATCTGTTTACCTCTTATGCTGGAAATGGGTGGAAGGAGATCACCCAAGAATTTTATGCTAATGCAATGAGGGTAAAAGGAGACCAGCTGGCCCTTCGGCACACTATGGTAAGAGGTGTAGAAATTGATTTTTCTCCATCTAACATTTAGAGGGTTTTGAACATACCTCCAGTGGAGAGGAGAGCTGGACAGCTTGATTTCACTACATTTAGCTATCTAGAAGAGAAGGACTACAAGCCCATACTCCAGGCCATCTGTAAACCAGGAGAAAATTGGGAGTTTGACATGCAGCTCATGCCAAAGAATCTGACCACCAAACACCTTTTCCCACCAACCAAGGTGTGGAGCATCTTCCTGCTAAGCTCCTTCATGCCAGTACGCCATTCCTCCACATTGGCTGTCAAAAGAGCTGAGCTTCTATATGCCATCCTCACTGGTATACCAATCCATGTGGGGGACATTATAAGCAACTTCATCATGAGCATCTTAAGCACCAAGAGGAACTCCCTTGCTTTTCCTTGCATCATCACCATGCTCTGCTAGGATGTTGGAGTAGACATGGGTGAATATCAGCAGAGAGTCAAAGCTGCCCCTCCCATCACTACTGCCATGGTGAAAGATCTTTTCAATGCTAAGAAGAAGTCTGCTGACCCAGGTCTCTCCCTCCTTGCTGAATATAGGAAGAGAAGCCAGTTGAATCTTAGAGAACAGGTCCAACAAATAGCACTGAGGCAGGATGCAATCCATGCTGGCCAGAAATCCATGCTGACCCTCCTGGAAACTATGTCCCTCAATATAGGAAAGAAGCTGGGCATGACATCAGAACAAATTTATGACGCCCCTACCTTCACTGCCCCTTTCCTTAGAGCAGCAGTTAACCAGGATTTACCTCCATTCACCACCACCCATGCACCTGCAGCTGAGAAGGATAACAGCTCTAGTTCTTTAGAAGAGGAAGAGGAAGAGGAGGAAGAGGATAATGATGAGAATGATGATAATCTTTCATCCTCCAGCTCAAATGAAGATCTTATCTAGCTTTGCTTTTCTTTCTGTCATTTATATTTCTGCAATTTCTAGTTCATTTCCTTGTATTTAGTAAATACTACTTTCATTGTAATTATCATCTTTAGTACTATTTTCCCCTTTATTTTCATGCATCACCCCTTGAACACTCTTTGACGCTTTTATATATATACTATTTGCATTTTAAATTCTATTTTTATAGTCTGTGCTGAATCCACTGTGCGTCTTTGTGCAGAGAATGCCCTCAGTAATATCAAGAGAAGCATGAAATTGATCTCTGAGTGTGACTCTGAAAAGGGGGTGATCTCTTTGCCTCTGTTTCGCATTGTTTAGTCTGTTTTTCCTGCATAGTTCATAGATAAAATACAAAAACAACCTCTTTGTTTCTTTACTTTTTATTTTTGATGAAATTTAGTTTTCTAATTCTGATTTTATATTCTGATCGCACTTCCTATTCAACTCAATCATTCTCTGTTTTGTCAATAATTATCGTTCCTACCATACTGAACATAGTTTCCTGTAAGGTGAACTGTATTCACATGTTGCTAAGAAATTATCATCTTTTACCATGGTAGAGAATTGGGCCTTAAAATTCTTTTTTGTGTGCACATTACATGTACTTTTGCATTCATCTTCTAGAACTTGCCTTGTTTCTTAATTGAATATGCATTGTACAATTTTTCATCTAGATGATTGAGGCCTTCTTTGCACATACCCACCCTAGAACACCCTCCCACCAAATTTCCTTTGTTCTACACTCCCTTCTTTTGCTAAACTTAGCCTGCAAACATAGTTTCCTTCCCTTAAGAGAGGTGTTTCTTTTGAGTTGCGTCCAGAATGATTGCAAGAAACTAAGTTTGGGGTGCTAATTGTGACTGTAGTTGCTTGAGGACAAGCAAGATCTTAAGTTTGGGGTGGTGAGCATATTACATGTTCATATTACATGTCAAAATATATATATATATATATATATATATATATATAAATGAATAAATGGAAGTAAAAGAAAAAAAAAGAAAAGAAAAAGAAAAATACAGCAAGTCTTTTTAATAGAAAAAAGAAGTTCCACATAAGGCAAAATAATGAAAAAAAAAAAACATGATGAAAGAATGCCTAAACCTCATAAATTGCATCCTTTAGTGCATTCCATTCTAGTTGTTGTGCTCATTCACTCAAAAGAATTTTCCTTTCTTAAAAACCCACTTGAGCTATTGCCATTCCTTGATAAAAAAAAATTGAACCTAACCTAACCACATTTGTGACCAACAAAGCCCTTATGATAGGTGGTTCATTGTATTTAGGCAAAGGAGATTGAGAATATGGGCAAGCATATGGTAGGGTGAGGCAAAATGCATGAATTGAGAGAAACACTAAGCCTACAATATTAATGAGTGAGAGTGAAACACTATACTGTGAGCTGGATGATTTCTTTGCATTGTGTGGACTGCATGAAACCTTGCTGGACTTTTGTTTCGGTTTAGTGGGATTTTGCATGAAAATAGATGATATAAGTGTGATTGTTTTGTTGAATGAATCCATAATTTTGAAAATATTGGAAGTGCTAAATTGGAGTCTAAGATTGGAATGGAAATCTTTGAGAAAATTTTTGGATAAATCCAACGCTTTACCTTCATTTTTCTTGAGTTTTAGTTTGCTTGAGGACAAGCAAAAGTTTAAGTTTGGGGTTGTGATGAATCCAAACTTTATAGATATTTTGTTTGGTTTTTATAAAGTTTTAATAGAAAAAAATAGACTTAGAGGTTGTAAATAACATTAAAATCTTATTTAGGTAGAAAACAATAGCTTTCTTAATTTTTGTCTTATTTCCATTAATTTTTGTGAATATATTTTACAATTTTGATCATTTGAAAAATTGTGCAGGAAATTCTAGACAAATTTCATGAATTTTTGGCTCTTTGAAAAAATATGAACTGAGAGTAACTACTATCAGATACCAGAGTAATCACTCCAGGGAGCTGGTTTCAAGGGATAGGCCAGAGTAACCACTTTCAGATATCAGAGTGATCACTCCAAAAGCCCCAAACCCCAAGTGTCCTGCGCGTAAACACTCTCAGAAATAGGAGTAATCACTCCAGAGACGCCCAGAAGGAAGTGCCCTGCGCGTGTTTACTCTCAGAAATGAGAGTAATCACTCCAGAAAGGGAAAAAGCTAAAGTTGCTGCGCGTAAACACTCTTGTTTACAGAGTGATCACTATGGGGCCATGTCAGACTTAGTATATATATAGACTTTTAGAAATTAGGGTACGGGATGATTCATTTTCCTTAGATTCTTTTGCCACTTTTGGAGCATTTTGCAGAGCTTAGGATTCTTGGGTGACAGCCAGGGATCTATTATAGGTTTTAATTTCCAATTTCCCTTTTGATTTTCCTTGATTTTACATTAATTTTGTTTATGTTTCTACATTTCCTTCTTTCATTTGTGAAGCCCATCCATATGGAGGGCTAAATTCTCTTGTAATTCCTAGTCAACTCATTTGGTTCTTGAATTCTTGGGTTTAATGGCAATATTAATCTTTCTTTCCTTGGATTTATTAACTCCAATCTCTGAATGAAATGAAATTTGCATGAGGGAAACATTGCGTAATGAACCCTAAATTACCCAAACAAAATTCTAATATAAAATTACTTAATTTTGATTAATCTTTGAGATTGCTTAATCTTCGGGATAGAGGTTGGAGCGAATTAAGATGCTTAATTTTAATTGGGATGCTAAAGTTAATTTTCGCTTGTTAGATTAACTTAATTCAAGGGGAAAATAGAGGATTATTGAATTATTTGAAAGAATAGGGATAGAACTCATTGATTGACTAGGGATTACTCTTTTTAATTGATTGGATTTCATTAGTTTACATTCTGCTCTTAATTAAAATCTAGAAATTGACAAACCTCCCCCCAATTTACTTGCTTTAAAATATATGTTTACACTTGTTCGATGTATGTTCCCAACCAAAAGTTCCTTGGAGATAACCTAGGACAACACCCTAGTATTGCATTTATATCTTGCATATTTGATGAGGATTAACGATAATCTTTGTGCATAACGAGTAGCGAAAATTTGTTCCATCAACTCACAACCTGTTTAGCAAGCACAACCCCTAATGTGTGATTTTTGTGGAGGCGACCACCTAATGGTCATTCCTCTTATTCTCTAAATATGCAAAAGGAGGAAGTACAGTACATGAACAATCAACAACGACTTAACAACTTCTCAAACAACTCCTATAGCAACAATCAAAATTGGAAAAGCAATCAAGGCCAAAACCAAGGGTGGAGGCAAGAGGCAGGATCATCAAATAGGTAATCCCCATTTCAACAGCAGCACCAGTATTCATCACTTCATGAAAGGCAGTTGAAGTTAGAGGACACTTTGGAAAAATTCATGCAAGTTTCCTTGGTAAATCAAAAGAACACTGAAGCCTCAATAAGGAACTTGGAAACATAGGTGGAAACAGCTTTTAGAGCAAAAGGCAGGTCATTTTTCAGCCAACACCCAGATCAATCCGAAAGAGCACTGTAATGCAATTATCACGAAGAGTGGTAAGGTCATGACTAGTGGAATGGAAGCAAATTCAAAGGTGGCGGAAGGAAAGGAAGAAAAAGAGAAAGATAGAGAGAGAAAAAAAGGATTGAATAAAAATGAAGAAAAAATTGATGACAAAGAAAAAGAGTCAGAGGAAGTAGGAGAGAAGAAAAAAGGGGAGAGTCTAATGAAGAGATTACCATATCCCCTAGCTCCTTCTAAAAAGGACAAGGAAAGGCAGTTCATGAGGTTTATGGACATATGCAGTAAACTTCAAATCAACCTACCCTTTATGGAGGCCCTAGAACAAATGTCCCAATATGCCAAATTTATGAAGAACCTCCTCGCCAAAAAAAGGTGGTTTCGAGATGAAGAGACAATTGAATTGGAAGCTAGATGCAATGCCATCATTCAGAAACCTTTACCGGGAAATTCTAAGGATCCTAGAGGCTTCACCATTGCAATCTCAATTGGAGAGATATCTGTTAGTAAAGCCCTATTGGATTTGGGAGCTAGTATGAATTTATTACCCTTGTCATTTCTGAAACAGCTGGGAAAGATTGAAGTTAAGCCGACAAGGATAACCTTACAACTAACAGATAGATCTATTAAGTATCCCTATGGGGTGGCTGAAGATGTGCTTGTAAAAGTAGACAAATTTTTCTTCCTTGTTGATTTTGTGGTGATGGACATAGAGGAAGACACTGAAGTCCCTCTCATTGTGGAACATGGAACATTAAAGATCGGAGCTCAAGATGAAGAGGCTAAATTTGAAGTATTTCCATCCACCCATGGTGAAGGACTGCCCACAGCCGAGGATAACTTGTAGCAACTGTGGGAAATCGGGGCACATTGCCAATGAGTGCTAGACCACCAAAAGGGGAGGCAGTGTAGGTACAGCTTAGAGGCCGGAATCAAGAGGAAGTATGGGGCCAAGTTCGGGGCAGAAGCCGAGCATTCCTGGTCGAGTCTTTGCTATGAGTGGGGTAGAGGCTTCATAGTCAGAGGAGCTGATCTAAGGTAAATGCATTATTAAGGGTCGATTACTTGATGTGCTATTTGATTTGGGTGCTTCGCACTCTTTTATATCTGTGGACTATATGAAGAGTCTGGGCTTGTACGTGATGAAGTTGCCGTGTAATGTTGTGGTGACTACTCCTATGGGTAAGCCGGTTGTGATGTCCTGGGTGTGTTTAGGGTGTACAATGATGGTACACGGTAGGGAATTTAAAGCGAATTTGATCTGTTTGCCTCTTTCTTAACTAGATGTGATTCTGGGAATGGATTGGCTTACTGCCAGTCATGTGCTGCTGGATTGTAGAGGAAGGACCTTGATCTTCGGCGAGAAGATGGCGGAAGTTCCAAGACACATAAGTCAAGGTGCATGGGAGAACACGGTGAACGCCAAGGCTTTTATGGTTATGTTCTCAATGGAAGCCAAAGTGTGGTGGAGTTGGAGTATATCCCGGTGGTGAGAGATTTCTTGGAGTTTTTTCCCGAGGATGTTTTTGAGCTACTGCCTGAGAGAGAGATAGAGTTTGCTATCGACCTCATTCCGGGAGCAAGCCCAATTTCTGTGGCGCCTTATAGGATGTCACTGGTGGAATTGGGCGAGGTTAAGAAGCAAGTAGAAGACCTATTGCAGAAACAGTTTTTGAGACCGAGTGTGTCACCGTGGGGAGCACCAGTGCTCTTGGTTAAGAAGAAAGATGGAAGCATGAGGATGTGTGTGGATTACCGGCAGTTGAACAAGGTAACGGTCAAGAACAAGTATCAACTTCCAAGGATTGATGATTTGATGGACCAGTTGAGGGGAGCTGCAGTGTTCTCAAAGATTGACCTGAGGTCGGGATACCATCAAATCCGAGTGAAGGATGCAGACGTACCTAAGAAGGCGTTCAGGATGCGGTATGGTCACTGAGTATTTGGTGATGCTGTTTGGAGTGACCAACGCGCCTATGGTGTTCATGGACTACATGAACAGGATCTTCCACGAGTTTTTGGATAAGTTTGTGGTGGTGTTCATTGACGACATCCTCATTTATTCAAAGACCCAAGAAAAGTACGCTGAGCATTTGAGGATTGTCTTGCAAATTCTAAGAGAGAGACAACTGTATGCGAAATTCTCCAAGTGCGAGTTCTGGTTGTTAGAAATCTAATTTCTGGGACATGTAGTGTCGAAGGAAGGAATCATGGTAGACCCTGCAAAAGTGAAAGCAGTGGCTGAGTGGCCGAGGCCAACGAATGTAACAGAGGTGCGTAGTTTCCTCAGATTGGTGGGCTATTATAGGAAGTTCATTGAAGGGTTTTCTAAGATAGCGTTGCCTTTAACAAAGCTGACTCGCAAGGGAAAGAAATTCAAGTGGACCAAGGGGTGTGAAGCTAGTTTCTTAGAGCTGAAGATAAGGTTGACTTCGGCGCCGGTGTTAGCTCTACTCGACCTGAAGCAAAAGTTTGATGTGTATTGTGAAGCATCCGAGTAAGGACTTGTGTTTTGATGCAAGACAAGCAAGTGGTCACCTATGTCTTGAGACAGTTACGCTCGCATGAAGTCAACTATCCAACTCACGATCTGGAATTGGCCACGGTGGTTTTTCCTGTTAAGGTATGGAGGCATTACCTATATGGGGAGAGGTTCGAGGTGTTCAGTGATCATAAAAGCTTGAAGTGTCTGTTTAATAAGAAGGAACTGAATATGCGGCAGAGGAGATGGATGGAATTCCTCAAAGACTATGATTTTACATTGTCTTACCACCCTGGCAAGGCAAATGTAGTAGCCAATGCTTTGAGCCAGAAATCATTGCATGTGGTAGCGATGATGGTGAAAGAGATGGAGTTGATCGAGGAATTTCGAGACATGAATTTGGCCATGGAGGTGAGGCCGGGGAGTTTATATCTCGGAGTGACGACAATTCACGACGACTTTCTGGTGTACGTCTGAGATGCTCAGTAAGGAGATGCGTTCCTGCAAGACATGATGAGACAGAAGGATGAGGGAAAGGACATGGATTTCCACCGTGATGAGAACAGAGTGATTAAGTTCCGGAACCGAGTGTGCATTCCTCAAGTGGATGAGCTGAGACAGGTGATGCTTGAGGAAGCACATAAGAGCAGGATGAGTTTTCACCCTGGTGCAACTAAAATTTCTTATTTGTGAAAATTAAATTTAAGGTGTTACATGCAGAACTTTTGCCTATAATTACAATGCATGTCATATACGAAAAAGTTCATATTTTATACCAAGTTTGTACAAATAAAACGAGTAATTTAAGACTAAAATTTTTGGATGTTATAAATAGTTCCTGTCAAAATACCGGAATTGTAGCAACAATATTTTTAGTTTCTATATAAGGAGCCCTCGACCATGATGTGAGGTACCCTTTCATTTAGCAATTTAGTGAGTGTTTTAAGAGAGAGAAGTTCTACTGCGATATTCTATTGTAAGTTTTTCTTTCAAAGTTCTTTAAATAAAATTTGTATTTTCTATATTTCATTTCTCTCTTCCCCTTTTGAATTGGTTCTGTTTGTACTACCGTCATCCAACTTTCTTCTTTTCTACCTTCATCGGTCCTGAGCTGGTTCTACCGCCGCTCCAGTGTTCTATGTTTTAATATTTTTTATATTTAAATTCTGTATATTTACTCTCTGCATTTTTATTTAGTAGTTCTGCTATTGTCTACTTTCTTTTAGTCTTTTTATTTCTTTGATCCAACGTTGGGGTCTTTGGTATCATACTCATTTATACACACCCTTGTGAGGTGAATTCATAATATTAGTCTATGCATTCATCATTAAGTTTCATTTTTCCTTTAAGATTCATTATCATTTTGCACTTACCTTTTACTTTCTTAATAACGTGAAATTGACATAACAATTGAGTTATATTTAGAAAAGCAATTTTTATTTCATTTATCAAAGGAATATCGCTATCAATCCTAATGATGTTAGACATCATATCATATTTTAAAATTAATTCTCTTAAATTTAGTAATATTTAAGTGAAATTATCCTTTTGCTTAGATTTCAAATAAGAAAATTCTATTAAAAATGTCAAGTTAGTGTGATTATATCTATTCATTATTATGTTGATTGATTAGGGTTGCTTAAACTTGAACTATGTGAATTGGTTATGTGTTAGAATATAAAAGTTACGTAATTGTTGAATAAGGAGTAGTGCGGTTATTATGTTGTACGATGATATTGATTGAATGCAAAGTGCAATGTAAGTTGAATAGTGATTGTTAAATGTGTTCAGTGTTTAGATAATTTAAAAAGTATGATTAAGAATTGGTAATATTTCACTCGAAAGAGAAAATTTTGGAATCTGGGTGCAAGGTATCTCGCTCAAGCGAGATCTGATATAATTGTCTCAATTGTAACCTCGCTTAGGCGAGAGGTGCTCGCTCAAGCGAGATGTCGCAGGAGTAATAGGTAGCTCTCTAGACGCAATCTCACCCAAGCGAGAATGCTGCTCGCCCAAGCGAGATGTATCTCGCTCAAGCGACGTGTTGCTCGCTCAAGCGAGAATATAAAAACCTTCTCTAGTTGAATTCCTTCCTGATTAAAACGAGATCTTCTATCTCATCAATATCTAGACGAGTTCTCAGAGTTCAGTTCTCAGTTTTACCTTGTTTCTTCTCTCTTTCTCAACGGACTTAAATCAGGTTGTTTTGAGTAGATCTGAAATGATCAAGTCGTATCCCACACCCAAATGGTCAATCTCTCTGTACAAAACTGGCTAGGAGCACTATTTTGGAACTTATTCCAGGTAAGGGGAGCTTACCTAATTTAATCTAGTTTATTTAGTAGAGACCGTGATGTTTATATAAATTATTTCATTCTAGTTGAGAATAGTGGGCTGTATGAGTTAATTTTTGGTTAAAAACTCAAAGGCTGTGTAGTTGAATAGATTTCTTGGCTGTCTGATGATTATTTAGAAAACTATGATGAAATATGACATGCTGGAACACTACCATATATAAGCCGAGAGCGTTAATATATGCTGGAATATTTAACTAGTATTTTGAGCTGCTTAGTTTTCATTTTGTGTTGTATATTGAATTGCTGAGCTTTGCTGTAAGATATATATGGCTGAGTTGTTAAAGCTGAAAATGAAAGATTTGTGTTGTAACTGATTTAGTTGTACTACATCACATTTATCATTATCATCCTAGAGCTGCCTAGGACATTGAGCTGTGTTGTATCTAGATCTAGATACTGGATGGGTCGCTCCTAAACCGAAATAGTTCCTCTGAATTACTTAGGCTGTGAAACTAGATAGAAACTGAATCGTGCATTTGCATTAGATGGGCTGCACATGCTGCATCATTATATTGAAGTTGTGTAATGCTGGACTGATATGAGTTGTTTAAATAATTTTATCTATATTTATGCATATTTCATTAATAAGGTTGTCAATTGTATAATCTCACCCTTACATTTTGTTGTGTTTGTATACGTGTGTGTTGCAATGATCGTACTATGGTACGTGAGCAAAAGATACAGGGAATTCATTCACTTCTCAAGCTGGGCGATCTGGTTGAGGGATGACGAAGTTAGCATTTTTAGGAAAATTGTGATGTTAGATATTTATGGTCAGTCTAGGTTATAGTAATAGGTATAGACAGTTAGAACATACCTTTTAAGTAATGTAAATTATGTTTTAAACACTTGTATTTGATTTTTACTGAGTTGGCTGATGTAAATGTGAAAGTTTATATAAAGACTTGAATATTGTATATAAAGGCCCATGAGGCTCGTTATCTGTTTATTTGAATGTTGGCGTAATGCCTTATAAATTAAATAAATGAATTAAGAAAGATAAGCGAA